CGCGCCTGGCATGGGGCATAGTCATTATGCCAACTGCTGGTTCCCGGTAATTAAAACTCTTAAGAATTCATGAAACACAGGATCAGCAGATGGCATAAGGTCTACGTTGCTGGACTCCCATGTACTCAACCACGGTTTGAGTCCCAGACCTGGTGGCTTAAACTCAGGCCAGGCGCGTGTGCGTGCGTGCCCAAGATCTCGAGAGGAGAATGGAGGAGAAGGGATTGCGGAATGGCCATCTTCTCTGGGGGTCTCTCTCTTTCTGGACAGCACACATGTGTTATAGCAAAAACCTCTCCAAAAAAAGAAAGAGTTCATGAAACACGGCTTACTCACATAATACAATTGATTTTGGTTTTGCTACAGAGCATATGCTTGCGTGCACATGCGCGTGCGAGAGAGAGCGAGAGTGAGAGAGCGAGAGCGAGAGAGAGAAAGAGAGTGAGAGAGTGAGAGAGAGCAAGAGAGCGAGAGAGCGAGAGAGTGAGAGAGCGAGAGCGAGCGAGAGAACGCGAGAGAAAGCGAGAGAGAGCGAGAGAGCGAGAGCGAGAGAGCGAGAGAGTGAGAGAGCGAGAGAGAGCGAGAGAGAGGGAGCAAGAGAGTGAGCGAGAGCGAGCGAGAGAACGTGAGAGAGAGAGCGAGAGAGAGCAAGAGAGCGAGCGAGAGCGAGTGAGAGAGAGCGCGAGCGAGAGAATGTGAGAGAGAGAGAGAGCGCACGCGCGAGAGAGCGCGAGTGAGCGGGCACCCCCCAGGAGTGTGGCCATGCTGCAATCGTGTCTCCCCCATTCTCTTGGGATTTTGGGTGCACACACATAACACGTCCTTCATGATTTTCTTTCTTTTTTAAATAATTTTTTTAAAAATTTAACTTCATTTATTTTTATTTGAGCAGAAAGGGACAGAGTGAGAGAGAGTATGAGGGAGAGGGAAAATGAAAAAGCAAGCTGCCAGATCCGGGACTTGACCCAGTCAGCCATGTGGAAGTCTAGTGCCCTTAACCACTATGCCACCTGCCAGCCCCACCATGATTTCAAACTGCTGGGTCGAAGACTTGAACCATGGTCAGCTATAAGAGATCCAGGGCCTTAATCTCCATACCACCTATTGGCCCTAAATTGCTTTTTAAAATATATTTATTTGTTTCTTTGTTGTGATTTTCAAGCCACTGGGTCTGAGATTCAAACCATGGTGAGTAATGTGGGAATCCAGGAACTTAACCACCATGACACCTGCTGACGTTGTAAAATTTTTAAAAAAAGAGTGGTTTATTCTTAATTTTATTCATTCATTCGTTTTTATTTTAATTTTACCAGAGAGAGATACACAGAGTGAGGGAGGGAAAGTGGGAAAACAAGCCACCAGGTCTGGGACTCAAACTGTGGTCAGTCATGTGGGAGCATCCAATGATTTAATCACCATGCCACCTGCTGGTCCCTGTAAATTTTTTTAAAACAGAATTTAGCATTTTCTTTTTCTTTTCTTTTATTTAACTGTATTGTTATTATTTTAAAAAATTTAACCAGAGAGAGAGAGAGAGACAGGGGGAAAGTGAGAAAGTGAGCCACCAGGGCCAGGACTCAAACCGTGGTTGGCGACATGCGAGTCTGTACCTTTAACCACCACACCACTTGCCCACTCCCATAAGTTGTGTTTATTTTAAAGGGGTCATTTTTATTTATTTCTTTATTTTAATTTGCGCAGAGAGAGAGAGAAAGTGAGAAAGCAAGCCTCCAGGTCTGGGATTTGAGCAGTGGTCGGCCATGTGAGAGTGTCTAGCGTCTTAGTTACCATACCACCTGTTTTTCTCCCCCTGTAAATTGGTTTATAAAAACTGATGTTCTAAACCTTGAAGACATAGTCTGCCTTTTTTTTTTTTAAAGTATTTAACTTTATTTATTTAATTTATTTTAATTTGACCATTAAGGGACAGCCACTAGGTTTGGGACTCAAACCATGGTTGGTCATGTGGGAGTCCAGAGCCCTTACCCACCACACCACCTGCCAGTCTCCCCCGCTTTTTTTGAGAGGCTTTTGCTATAGGGCATGTGTGCTCGCTAGAAAGACAGAGAGAGACAGAGAAACAGAAAGTGAGAAATCAGCCCCCGGGGGGATGGCCACACCGCAGTCCCTTCTCCTCCATTCTCCTCTCGGGATCTTGGGCACGCACACACACGCGCCCGGTGTGAGTTTAACCCACCTAGTCCAGGACCCGAACCGTGGTCTAGGGAGTCCAGAGATGTAGCCATTATGCCATCAGCTGGTCCCCTTTGTTTTGTTTTTGAAGTAATTATGTATTTTAGGGGGGCCAGTAGGTGGCATGGTGGTTAAGACACAGGACTTCCACATAGCTGACCATGGTTTGAGTCCTGGACCTGGCAGCTTGTTTTCCCACTTTCCCTCTCTGTCTTTCTCTAGTCAAAATTAAAAAATATATAAATAAATAAAATAAAATAAATATTTTTTTAACAACAACAACAAAAAATTATGTATTTACTTTAATTTGACCAGACAGAGACAGAGACAGAGAAAGCAAGTCCCCAGGTCTAAGACTTGAACCATGGTCTGCAATGTGGAAGTTCAGTACCTTAACCACCACACCACCTGCTAGCTCCACATATAGTGGTTTATTTTTTTTTAAGAATTATTTATGTATTTAATTCCATTTTTTATAATTATTTTTTAATTTAAACAGACAGAGACAGAGAGAAAGAGAGAGAGAGGAGGAAAGCGAAAAAGCAAGCTGCCAGGTCCAGGACTCGAACTGTAGTTGGCCATATGGGAATCCAATACCTTTAACCACCACGCCCCTGCCGGCCCCATTTATTTTTTAAATAATTATTTTATTTAACTTTATTTATTTGTTCACTTATTTTGATCTTTTTACCAGAGAGGGACAGAGCAAGAGAGCAAGACACAGTGAGAAAGCAAGCTGCCGGGTCTGGGACTTGAACCACGGTTGGCCATGTGGGAGGCCAGTGCCCTCCTTTTATTTTAAAGAATTATCTTAGGGACCAGCAGGTGGCGTGGTGGTTGAAGGCGCTGGACTCCCACATGGCTGACCATGGCTCGAGTCCCAGATCTGTTGGCTTCCTTTTTCACTTTCTCTCACTCTCTTCTTCTCTGGTCAAATTTAAATAAATAAATAAAGCTAAATAAAATAATGCTTTAAAAAATTATTTCACTCGGACCAGCAGACGGCGTAATGGTTACGTTGCTGGACTCCCACGTAGTTGACAAGTTTGAATCCCAGACCCAGCGGCTTAAAACACACCGGGCGCATGTGCATGCGTACCCAAAATCCCAAGAGGAGACTGGAGGAGGAGGGACTGAAGTGCGGACATCACCCGGGGTGTGTGTGTGTGTGTGATTTCTCTCTATTTTTCTTGTTCTGTCTCTCTGTCTCTCTGGCAAGTATGCACACCCTATAGCAAAAATATCACTCTCTAAAAAAAAAGAATTATTTTATTTAAAATTTCTGACCACAGAAGGACAGAGGAAAAGGGAGAGAAAAAGAGAAAGCACATAGTCTGCTTTTATATATATTTTTTTTGCTATAGAGTACGTGTGTTTACCAGAGAGACCGAAAGGGGGAGAGACAGAGAGAGAGATTGAGAAATTACCCCCCAGGGGGTGGCCACACCACAATCCCTTCTTCTCTAGGGATTTTGGGCATGCATGCACACCCAGTATGATTTTCCAGCGGGCCTGAGACTCAGACTGCACAGCCCTCGTTGTGAGACCCAGCTGCCTTACTTCCACGCCCCTGCTAGCTCCACATGCAGTCTGTGTTCCTACCTTCACGAACTGCTTTAAATTAAGTTCATTTTTTAATTTAAAATAAACGTTTAAATATCTCTTAAAAAAAAAAATTCAGGAACCGGCAGGTGGCATGGTGGTTAAGGAGCTGGACTTCCACGTGGTCGACCACGGTTTGAGTCCCGGACCTGGTGGCTTATTTTCTCACTCTCCCTGTCTCTCTCTCTCTCTCTGTCTCTGTCTAGTCAAATAAAATGTAAATAAATAATAGAAGCAACATTATTAAATAATGATTAAAAAAAAAGAGGTTCATTATGTAGTTCCATTACATTTTGGCTAATTTATTTTAAAGGTTTTTCTACGATAGGGCATGTGTGCTTGCTGGAGAGACAGAGACGGTGAGAGGAAAAGTGAGAAGTCACCCCCCTGGGGGGATAGCCACTCTGTAATCCCTTCGCCTCCATTCTCTTCCTGGGATTTTGGGCCTGCAGCACATATATGCACTAGCATAAGTTTCTTTCCTTTCCTTAAAGAATTATTATTATTATTACTATTATTATTATTTAATTTGACCAGAGAGAGAGAAAGGGAAAGTGAGAAAGTGTACCATCGGGGCCAGGCCCTGTGGGAGTCCAGTACCTTAACCACCTGCCAGCCCCTGGCATCCTGTTTCAAACCACTGTTGACTATGTGGGAGGTCCAGCACCCTAGCCACCATGCCACCGGTGCTGGCTCCACATTTTGGCTAATTTTCAACATCAAAAGCTTATAACTAATCAAGAAGAAATAGAAAATATTGACAAAAGTAAGTGATGTTCTATTTGGGAACACCTAGTGTGGAGTAAGGGTGACTCGGATAAAAGTAAAATGACCGCATACATCCGAGGCTACTGAAAAGCAGGGAAAAGAAGGCATTAACCGCACTGAAAACTGCACACAGGCACAAGGGGAAAAAGCGTTCAGGATACAGACTCACCACTCAGGGCAGCGGGTCTGCTAGGCGGGTCCCCAGGAAGGCCAGGGCGTCCCCCGAACTTGGTTGCCAGAAGACCACCAACCAGCTCGGGAAGTGTGCAAAGGGAGCCCTAAACCGAGCCCAAGCCTGACTTGTCCCTGACAGCAACATCTGTACAAGGCCTTTGGCCTCGGTGACAAGGCGATCCAGCACCCCCCACCCCCCACCCGGCACAGCCAGGGAAGTCGCGGGAAGCCCCTCTGGCTGAAGAGACCAGACTCGGACCCCGAACGATGCAACAGACTGTTTAATGAACACCGAGTTGGCCAAATGGGGGGTGTGGGGCAGCGGTTTTGGGGGGTGAGCAGGGGCACCCCTCCCAGCACCTTGCCTGTCCAGAGGGCCTCGCGTCCTGGAGGGCGGTGGGGTGGTGTGACTGCCCATGTGGTGGCTGGGTCACCGACTTCCAGACAGCTTTACTGCCTCTCCTGAAGGGCCTTCCTCCTGCACCGAGCCCCACCCAGAGGCGGTGTGCGCAGAGAGGCAGGGAGGTGACACGTTGGTGTGGGACGGCAGCCATGGTGCTGGCAGGCCATGGTGACCCGGCTAGGGGCAGGCCTGGCCCAGCACAGCTACCAAGCCTCTGCTCCCGTCTCCCCTCACCTGGAGACTTCTGGCAGTGCTCGGGGGTAGTCTTCCCCTGGGCCCCCGCTGTGCTGGAGTGGGGCAGGGGCCCAGAGCCCCATCAGGAGAGGCAGCAGCACACGAAAGCCCAGGACGTGGCCAGCCACGGCCCCAGGAGAGGGACACAGAGGGGAACCTGCACCCCGCAGGGATCGGGCGTGCGTTGTGCTGGTGCTCACGGGCTCATGTGGAGACCAGGAGGGCTGGGCTGGGGCCAGGCGTCGGATCTGACCTGGGCCCCCGAGCTCTGCAGTGACGATCGGGTGGGAGGACGGGTGGAAGCAGAGGCTGCAGGAGGCTCAGGGTAGCCACGGGGCTGGGGATGCCCCCGTCAGGCTTCTCTGGCACCCCATGGTGGAGCTGGCTGGTTTGCCCCTCCGCTGCCACTTCTTCAGTGAGACCCAACAAAGCGGCTCTGCAGAAACACACGGATGAGGGATGTCCCTCCAGCCCCATCCCGCCCTGCAGGGCAGACACTGCTCCAGGGGCCCGCGCAGCCTGGCCCCGGCCGCCAGCAGGGGCAGAGCACCAGGCGCAGCCGGCAGAGGGCGCCCTCTCTTCTCAGGATCCACGCACACGGCCCTGCGTGGTCACAGGCAGGAGGGGCGGTGCCGGCGGGGAGGGGAGCGATGCCACGCAGCACCAGCAGAGGGCGCCATGAGCCCACACTTAGAGGCTTCTGCTTTTCAAGGGCTAAGGCTCCAGGGAGGTGGCTCAGGACTGCAAGACGGAGCCTCCCCACTGCCTTGGGCCAGGGACACCTTGAGGCGGAGAGCCGGGGCCCTGGGAGGGCAGAAGGACCCTCTAGTTAAGTACGGCTCCGGCCAGAGAGCACAGCTGCTCCCCAGCTGGCCGTGGGTCACTGGTTGGCCGTCACGGCTGCTCTCGTCCAGAGAGTGGCAGCCGGCTCCAGCAGGGCCAGGTGCCCCACGTGGGAGTCTCAGCCCCTCCCAGCTCCCTGCGTGGACGCCTGATCCCCACGGCCCACAGCGTAGCTGTCACCTGGTGCAGGCCCGTCACTGGATGTCCGGGTCTTGGAAGCCCCACGCCTCGATGGCTGCAATGAGGAAGTTTTCGGAGCAGAGGGGCTGATTGTTGAAAGTGTCGCAGTGGCTGGTGCGGCCGCGGTTCAGGTCACCATCAATGTAGAGGGCCTGGCCACCTCCTCCCCCTGTGGGTGGTCAGGTCAGTGCCACCTGGTGTCCCCCACAGGGACGTCCCATTAGCTCGGCCCCCAGCCCATCCGGCCAGGCACAGCTGGTCCTTGTCCTGCCAGAACCTCTGCCCTCCGATGCCCTGGCATGGGGACCCTGCGCACCTGCTTCCCGGCCCCGCACCTGGGCCTCTTGTCCTGCCATCATGGGGGACCTGACGCGAGGCACCTGCCACCCGTCCAGCTGGGGCTGGGCCCAGGGGCCTTGGCATCACAGCCCTGCACCTCCTCCCAAGTCCCGTAGCCCCAGCCCGAGGGCCAGAGCGGCACCCACCCACGATGAGGCAGTCATGGCCCCCCGCCATGAACATGGACTCGGTCTTGGAGGGCAGGTTGAAATGCCGGGCAGCCAGGAACGGAGAGAGGCGGTCGGCGGGTTCTGAGGAGGAGGAGTGGCTGAGCGCAGACGCGGTGCTGCTGGTCTCCGACGACAGGGTGGAGGCCGGCCTGGTCAGTTCCGGGTGCTTGATGACCACCCATTCGTAGCGCTGCACCGGGGGGCAGCCTGTGGGGCGGCCACGCCATGCTGCCGGCCCTCCTACCCCGTGGGGCGGCCACGCCACGCTGCCGGCCCTCCTCCCCCGTGGGACGGCCACGCCGCACTGCCGGCCCTCCTGCCCCTACCCTGGCCCATCTTTACCCCCCCACCTGCTGTGGGGGAGGGCACCATGCAGGGCAGAGGAGGCCCTGGCTGCTCCCCTGGGGCTCAGCCTAGTAACCAAAGCCCAGAAATGGGACTGTCCCTGAGGCCCAGCACTGTAGGGAGCAGAACCCAGGGCACGGGGAGGCCGTAGCCACAGCCCTGCCCTCCTCCCAGGACAGAAAAACGCTGTTGTTTCTTTTAAGAGAGGCTTTCGCTACAGGGAGCATGCACTCATGAGAGGCAGAGAGAGACAGGAAGCGAGAAATCACCCCCCAAGGGGATGGCCACGCCACATCCCTTCTCCTCATTCTCTCGGGGTCTTGGGCACGCATGCACACGCGCCTGGCGTGAGTTTTAAGCTGCCGGGACTTGAACCACAGTCAACTACGTGGCAGTCCAGCGACATAACCATTACACCATCTGCTGGACCCCGGGAAAGCACTTTTCAACACATGTGCACATGTGCCCCAAGCCCCGACAGGCTAGGGACAGGAGAAGGGACTATGGCGTGATGACACCCACCGGGGATGCTCCCTCCCTCTCCCCGTCTCTGGGCGCACAAGCGCCTTACAGAGAAATAAGAACATTTGCCAAATGAACGCCGGAACTGGTACAGTGAAACTGAAGCAGGGCCTCATGAGCCTCGGTGACCGCACAGCCGGCCCGCCCTGGCACACTGAGGACACTCACCCGAAACACAAAGCACTCTCCGGTCCCGAAGAAGCCCAGTTTGCCTCCAAACTTGTTCCTCTCACTCCAGTCTGTTGACAGGTAAGCTCCACACACCTGCAAGGCCGGCTGGTGAGGCTGCAGCCCTCCTATCCCCACCAGCAGGGGCAGCCTGGGGGGCGGCTGTGCCCAGGCTGGGGGCTAGTGGCGAGGTGGTGCCCCGGGATGTCTCCCCCTGCGCCCCCACCCCAGCACGGGAACGAGCCCCAGGTGCTGCACAGCCACACAGCCCCGCCTCACCTCTTTCTGCGTGGTCTTGATGAGCAGGAGGGTGGGCTCGTGCCCCTCGCACTGGAAGTAGAACCTAGGGGTGTGCACTGTGCACGGGGGCGCGGCCGGTGGGGCGCCCACGCCATGCTGCCGGCCCTCCTACCCCGTGGGGCGGCCACGCCACGCTGCCGGCCCTCCTCCCCCGTGGGACGGCCACGCCGCACTGCCGGCCCTCCTGCCCCTACCCTGGCCCATCTTTACCCCCCCACCTGCTGTGGGGGAGGGCACCATGCAGGGCAGAGGAGGCCCTGGCTGCTCCCCTGGGGCTCAGCCTAGTAACCAAAGCCCAGAAATGGGACTGTCCCTGAGGCCCAGCACTGTAGGGAGCAGAACCCAGGGCACGGGGAGGCCGTAGCCACAGCCCTGCCCTCCTCCCAGGACAGAAAAACGCTGTTGTTTCTTTTAAGAGAGGCTTTCGCTACAGGGAGCATGCACTCATGAGAGGCAGAGAGAGACAGGAAGCGAGAAATCACCCCCCAAGGGGATGGCCACGCCACATCCCTTCTCCTCATTCTCTCGGGGTCTTGGGCACGCATGCACACGCGCCTGGCGTGAGTTTTAAGCTGCCGGGACTTGAACCACAGTCAACTACGTGGCAGTCCAGCGACATAACCATTACACCATCTGCTGGACCCCGGGAAAGCACTTTTCAACACATGTGCACATGTGCCCCAAGCCCCGACAGGCTAGGGACAGGAGAAGGGACTATGGCGTGATGACACCCACCGGGGATGCTCCCTCCCTCTCCCCGTCTCTGGGCGCACAAGCGCCTTACAGAGAAATAAGAACATTTGCCAAATGAACGCCGGAACTGGTACAGTGAAACTGAAGCAGGGCCTCATGAGCCTCGGTGACCGCACAGCCGGCCCGCCCTGGCACACTGAGGACACTCACCCGAAACACAAAGCACTCTCCGGTCCCGAAGAAGCCCAGTTTGCCTCCAAACTTGTTCCTCTCACTCCAGTCTGTTGACAGGTAAGCTCCACACACCTGCAAGGCCGGCTGGTGAGGCTGCAGCCCTCCTATCCCCACCAGCAGGGGCAGCCTGGGGGGCGGCTGTGCCCAGGCTGGGGGCTAGTGGCGAGGTGGTGCCCCGGGATGTCTCCCCCTGCGCCCCCGCCCCAGCACGGGAACGAGCCCCAGGTGCTGCACAGCCACACAGCCCCGCCTCACCTCTTTCTGCGTGGTCTTGATGAGCAGGAGGGTGGGCTCGTGCCCCTCGCACTGGAAGTAGAACCTAGGGGCCGAGACCACACGTGCCAGCCTGACGGAGCAGCCCCTGACACCGCTGTGCTGCCTTTCAGCCTGCTGTAGGGAGGCCGAGAGCCTGGGACCTGTGTGGCTTGTACTGCAGGGACAGGCCCAGTGGCTGGGCACCCGGTGCCCGTCCTGCCTGGC